GCCAGTGCATGATTATTATGAAATGTGTGATGGCATCAGGTCCTAGATGCATCTGGCCAGCCCTTAAGAGGCTTAGTTCTAAAGTGTAGTTATTGTATAGTTCACATAGCATCTTTAACCTGGTTACTGAATTGTTCCCTTTTCTGGTCTGCACAGTCAGCAGCCAGTTCAATGGGCTGGATTCCACATTACACGCTGACTCAAACAACTAGAATAAAAACGAATCAAGTTTATCAAACTGATATGCAACTTTAATGGCTGAATAAAGACTCTGAGATTCCTGTTTTTCCCAGACACTAGGAAAAGATGTTAACATCAGGGCCAAAACATTCCGTTGATCTTGGATTATATCATATTTAACCCAAAACAATATTTTAGATTCCTTGGACCCCACTGAGTTTATATAGCAAAGGCTTGTGTAAATCACCAGGAGATAAAATGAGATTAATGCTTTATTCAAAGATATGTTTGCTTGGTCCTATAGGGAGAAACATGTATTATCTCAACTTTCAAACTTGATGTCGTATTTTCAGAGGTTTGAGTTCTTTTGAATTATATTCCTAATGCCTGGAAACTGGTATCTGGACAGAGAAAGCAGATTCTCAGTGCCCTATTTTGTACTAAAAGATTTGTTCTTCATTGTTTGAAGAACATAGGGCTCCAATATCATTGTCTGCAGAGAGCATGTGATTAGCAACTTAGGAACAAATCATGTTTCCTTGAAATATGATGACAGAGTATGGCTACGGTTAATTGAAATGCTTATGTACAATTTGTATATATATCCTGGTATAGATCCTGTTTTTCTCTTCCTTCCTTCCTTCCTTCCTTCCTTCCTTCCTTCCTTCCTTCCTTCCTTCCTTCCTTCCTTCCTTCCTCCCTCCCTTCCCTCTTTGTTTTGCACCCTTTCTCTTTCCTTTATTCCTTTCTTTCCTTTTTTAATTCCCTTTCTTTCTCCCTTCCTTCCTTCCTTCCTTCCTTCCTTCCTTCCTTCCTTCCTTCCTTCTTTTCCTTCTTTTCCTTCTTTTCCTTCCTTATTCTTTCTTTTCTACCTTTCTTTCCTCTCTCCCTCTCTTTCTTTTCTTTCCTTCATTCTTCTTTCTTTCATTTCCTTCCTTCCCCCATTCCAGTCTTCTTCCTCCCCTCCCTTCCTCTTCCTCCTCTGCCTCACTCTCTAGGCTTCTTTCCATCAGCCACCAAATCTTGAACTCATTATTGTATCTTAAATTCAATTTCTGGAGATAGCACTAGAAAATGAATGAGGTAACTAACCAAAGGCGAGCTGATTTAATTTTAGAGAAGGTCGGAAGGAATCAGAATGGGAAATGAACTTCATCCCCACTGCCTATTCAATATAATTTTTGGATTAGTGCTTGTTTAAAACTTTGAAATCATTTGGGTGCAACGATTTAATTTTTTGAGTAGTGATTTTTTAAGAAAAGACTTGGCAGGGGAGGAGGGAATCTACCAGGCACTGTTTTATGTTCTTTTTTTTTTTTTTTTTGCACTTCTTCATATTCACTACAAATTAATTAACTATAACTGAAGGGTTAGCAACGGAGTCAAAATTACCTAAATTTTAATTTGATCAAGGTTATTTTGGATGGGTCATTAGAGGTTAATCTCCTTGAAATTTAAATAAATCCTAGTAATTATGTCTAAATTTAAATTGACTGCTGTAAATGAGCCTATGCAGATTTGCATCTACCAGCGTGGGTGCACTTCAGATAAATATTTTTTTTTTATTATGAAGCTACAGTACATATCTGGAAATTTCTGAGCTGGAGATTAAATAGGAAAGCATCTGGGATGCTACAGGAACCACAAGGCCGCAGCAAAATGTAAGACCAAATCCATCTTTAAAGGCACTTTTTAAAATGTAAACGAAACACTGTGGGAGAATCTGAGTAGCTTTTTTTTTTCTTTCACCATCTTCCATCTGCTGAAACTTGTTGGAAAGTTCTTTGGTGGGGAAAAAGTTGGAGCATCTCAACGCAACCAAGTTAACTTGGCCACTGGATTCATCAATGTGGACCCACAACCTAACCCAGCCTATTGAGTTCATACCACAGGTTAAGCCACAAAGAAAGAAGCGAACCTGTCAAGAGCAATCAGATTAGCACAGTGATGGCAAAACCTTTCAGAGTAGTGGTTCTCAACCTGTGGGTCGGGACCCCATTTGGGGTCGAACGACCATTTCATGGGGGTCGCCAAACAACGCAGTCTGCCATTCCCCCCCCCCCTTTTCCTTAGCTGTGCTACTCCCTTTTATTCTATTGGCTTTTGAAAGCCAATAGAATAGACTCTCTTGAATAGGAATTGTCCAGGCTGTCTCTGCCCTGCTGAGCCCGCCAAAAGTCCCGTTCTGCAAACAGTGCTGCACCAGTTGAGTAGTCCTCAACTTACGACCGGTTGAGTAGTCCTCGACTTATGACCGGTTGGGGGTCGCGGCATTAAAAAGGTTGAGAACCACTGTTTTAGAGACCGCGTGCCCAAACCACTACCCAAAAACCACTTATTTATCGCAAAGTACCAGGGCCGCACCAGCATTGTGGTGCCCTCAAGGGGGTGGGGCATGGGGGCGTGGCCCACTGGGTGGGCATGGCTGCAGTTGTCATGGCAGACTGGATGGGTGTGGCTGGGGTGGGCATGGCCACCTCAATGTTGCTCTTGGGGGGGACGCCTGTGGGAGCCAGGCAGGGTTGGGGGAGATCAGGGGATCTCTGGTGGGTGGGGCGGTGGGCAGGAGGCCCAGCATAGATGGGGGGGAGGCACACAATCCTAGCTGGGACTGAGGGGCCATGGTGCCAATGGGGATCCGGCTTTCCCTGCTCGGGGTGGCCTTTGGCTTGCTGGGTGTGGGTATGCTCTACCACCTCTACTCAAGCTTGCTAGCTGGCCACTTCGCCTCCTTTGCACTGGGTGGGGCTGCCGCTCTGGGCAGCGGTGGCAGCCTAGTGGACCTGCAGCGCGCGTGCCCACAGAGAGGGCTCTGAGTGCCGCCTCTGGCATGCGTGCCATCGGTTCACCACCACTGGATTAGCATGTTGAGTAAAAACAGGGTGTGGGTTTGTAACGGAGCCGGTGAAGCACATGGCGCAGCTGCAGACCGAGTCACTCTCTGGAACTTACACAACTCTTAAAGCACAGGGCATCTTCCCAACTCAACTCTTCTCCATTAAAAGCCACGAGAGCTTTAGAGAGATATAGAATAAATCTTTATGCCAATGAGTTCTTGACTCTTTAATCAGCAAGAAGAGATGCTTCTGGGCTCCACATTTTCCAGGGTTGACCGTGTCCCCCGTGATGAGGACTCCAGCACTCAGCAGGGATTTGTAAGCTCCTAAACCAGATTATCAAGCTGGGCTCTCCATCCCCAGGATGACAATCTAGATCTGATTATATGACACAAATGTAGTTTCTTCCTTGAATTGTCTTGTCACTTTGGCAGCTAGCTAGACAGAGTAGAAAAACCATGGTAGTTGCTTGCATGTAGGAAGCACTTCAGGATGGGGTGGAACATCACTTATTTATAATTTTTATTTATTTATAATTTTTATTTGCCACCCATCTTGTATCCAGCGACCCTCGGTGGAACACCATACAAGATTATGCAAGCAAAGATAGTAACCAGGGGCATCTAGGTAAGGATGGGCACAGGTAAGCATCTATAAGGGTCCTGAATGGAGGAAAAAAAGGAAGATGTACTTTGACAAAAAAGAAATCAATCTTTCCGTGCACTGTGATTTATCTTGCTTCAACAACAAACAAGCAAGACTTTGACTCTTGCTTTGGGCAGGGGGCTGGACTAGAAGACCTCCAAAGTCCCTCCCAGTGCTATGATTCTAGTGCTTCTTATAAGTTGGAGGGGGGGGAACCAAGACAAGTGGGGAGAGAGAAAGGGAGCAGGCATTTTACTCTTTCCTTTACAGTGCTCAGAATGGATTTTGGATTTTATCAAAGTGCAATTTGGGGAGGGAAGGGGGTGGGGGAGACCTTGCTAATAAACCTTGTCCAGTTTGATGATCTCCAGATATCTTGGCTAAACATTCTAAAGCAGTGAATCAAGCACACCTGGTGAGCATCTTTTTAGGAAAGGCTGCATTTCAAGGATCCTCAAATCAGAAGTGCAGAAGTTTAGCATCTTCTAAAGCTGCCTTGTGACAGCCTCAGAGGCACCACACTCACACCCAAGCATGCCGGCAAAAATTTGCCCTGTCTTATTTGCCTGATTTATTGGACAGGTGTGGACGTATGATTGGCCCAGCTAATCTAATACATATGGACCTAACAGAAACAATCGGCAAGCACATCTCAATAGTCTTGGGAACCTTTGGAACCACCATTGCACAAGCTTTTCTACAGTTCATCAGACAGACGGAGCACCGTCTTAAGATAGAGTGTTTAATATATACTTACTCAACATTTAACCGTGAAATTAAACAGGCATAAAGTTTTTTGTTGTAATGTTTCTTTATAGTAGTCCAAATTGCCACCATTCTCCGCCCTCAAAAAAAAAAAAAGTTCCTCTCCCAAGATTTAAACTATATGGTGGAATAATCTGACTTTTCATTTGGATGGGGACAAGGGACACAGAGGAAAGATAAAGATAGGAATCTATGTTCTTGCAAGGCTACTTAACAACCTAAGGACAATATTCACACAGGCTAAGTTTGGCTAAGACGAACCTTGGTTGATTTCTTTAAGGTTTAGCAAGGGCACGAACTCAACAAGCTGGGCTGGTTCGTTGCACTATACCAGGCTTAGGAAAAGGGTCTGTTCAGTAAGCGGGTTCCCTGCGTTGTGTGAACAAAAGCATCGGGGACGCCTTCTCCTTAACCACGGCCCTCTTGACAAGACCAAAAAGAGTTTCGATGACTCTGACGCGCGGGGCGAGGGGGGAAGCATTTGCTGACAACCCAAAAGAGATGGCAGGGACCGACTGGATCCCTTGAAACAAAAGTTCTGGACCGGAGGAGGAAAGACAGGCCAGGACTTACATGAAAACGTGGTAGATGAACGCCCAGCCTCGGGGTCTTTCCAGCAAGTTGTAGAGGCAGTTCTGCAGGCGACGGTAGCGCTTCTGCGAGGCGGATCGAGCTCCAGAGCCCCCGCGTGGGACCGGTAAGGGTGTCCCGAGCAGTCCCAGACGCCTGGGGCTGGATACTCCGCCGCCGCCGGCGCCTCCGGCGGGGGTGGCGTCGATCTTCTCGGTCTGCACGGCGGTCAGAGGTACGAATTCCACGCGCTGGGCTTCTCCGCCGCCTCCTCCGCCGCTCCCGCCGCTGCCGGAGACGGAGGACCGAGGCAGCCCGGAGCGGTCTCCGCCGGGAGCCCCGGCCATCGCGCTGGGCAGGAAAGGCGACCGCCCTCACGGCATGGAGAAGGCTGAGTTCCGCGGCAGGTCAGCCCGGCATGGCCCGGCTGCCGGAGGGCTGAGGGGCTCCGCCGCGATCCTGCCCGCTGGCGCCAGCCCTCCGGAGCTGTCCTTCCCTCGGCAGGGAGGAGGGAAGGTTGAGCCTCGCTAGTTCGCTCGCTCGCTCGCCCGAGCTCAGGCTGCAAACAGCGCCCGGGACTCCGCCGCGGAATGCGCCCAGGGCGCACGCGGGGACTTTTGGCTAGCAACCTGGCGCGCTCCCCGCCGCTTCTTTAAGCCACTCGGAAGAGGCGTGGGGTGGGGGGGGGAGAGAAGAGGCCGCTGGAGGGACGCGGACCCCCCTCCCCGCTTCCTCGGCTGGGCGCTGCTTCTCCGCCTACGCCCAAGTTTAGAAGAGTTGCCGGCTTCGCGGGGCGCTGCGCTTTGGAGAGCTGGGCAGCGTCAAGAGCGCGGCCGGCGAAAACAGAGGTGGCGGCAGCAGCAGCAGCAGGAAGAGCACTTTCTGCCGCCGCCGCCGCGGGCTCTTTCTCCTCCTCTTGCCTCGGCCCCTCTCCATCCTGCTGGCTTTTCCACCTGCCTTTTGCTTCGCCGACTCACATGGCACCCTTCTCCACCCACCCACCCACAACCCCCGCCTCGCCGGCTCGTCTTTCCAACGACGCGGCAAACCCTCGGCGCTGAAGGGGCCGGGCGCCCAACAAGTCAGCCACGCCTGCCGCTGCCCCTTTTTCTCTCCTCCTCCTCCTCCTCTTCCCGGGGTGGCGACTGATTAACCGCGGCTGGAAGGAAGCGCGATTTTCAATCTCCGACGTGGGCGCTCAGCTGCGCCTTCTTCTTGCAGGCGCGAACGAGAATGGAAAAGTTCCTTCCAACAAAACGTCGGCCTTCTCCCCCCCCCAATTTTTTCCTGCCTGGAGGGGGTTTCCTTCTTTCATTCAGCCGGTCCTGCGCCCCCATTCGCCGCAATCAACTCGCCCCGGGCAATTCGCCTTGGGCCAAGTCGTCACGCGACCATTCGCCCGCGGAACAAGACTTAGACTTAGACCAGTGTTTCTCAACCTTGACATTTTTAAGGCATGTGGACTTCAACTCCTAGTTGGAATTCTGGGAGTTGAAGTCCACATGCCTTAAAATTGTCAAGGTTGGGAAACACTGACTTAGACGCTAATATCGAAGAAATGATGGAATAGAATCATTAAAGAAAGGACGCCCAAGGAGGGACAAAAGGAAACGGGAATGACCAAAAGGACAACATTTTTTTAAATTATTTTAAAAAATAATAATAAATAAAAATACAAAAGAAGAGGCAGTCAAGCAAAGCACCTGAAGGCAGGACAAGAAGCAAGGGATGGAAACTAATCAAGGAGAGAAGCAACCTAGAACCAAGGAGAAACTTCCTGACAGCTAGAACAATTAACCAGTGGAACAACCTGCCTCCAGAAGTGGTGAATGCTCCAACACTGGAAGTTTTTAAGAAGAGACTGGACAGACATTTGTCCGAAATGGTGTAGGGTTTCCTGCCTGAGCAGGGGGTTGGGCTAGATGACCTCCAAGGTCCCCTCCAACATTATTATTATTATTATTATTATTATTATTATTATTATTAATTATTATTATTATTTATTTAAATTGTTGAATTGTTCCTCACCGAGTTGGCCATGGCAACTTGTCCCATTCTGCTTGAAGTAGGCCTGTTTCCTGCAGTTCCAAGATTCGGCTCAGCCTGATGGGTCTCTTGGTTCTTAACTTCCAAAATGCATTTCCAGGGTTTCGGGTTTCGGCCCCAGGCTGGCCCTTCCAGTCTTTTTGGTAAGGGCAGGGAAGACAAACACTCATGTGACTTAATTTTATTCAAGGAAATGTCTTTGATTAAAGGCAGTTGATTTAATTGCTTCCTCCTTGGCCATGATTAATTACAATTAACTGCCAAGTTTGGAATGAGGATGAGGGCTGTTGAAGGTGAGGGCTACTGGTTTGTGTACCCATGAGGTGTGGGAAAGCAAGGCACAAAACAAAGTAAACAAAATGGGACTTAAAATTAAGTATAAAGGAGACCAAGCTAATGACAGCAGGTAGAACAACCAACCTTAGAATTAACAGCTAAGGAAATGACTGATAGATTCTGTTCCTTAGGATCCACCATCACCTGTAAAGGAAAAAAGAAGCAGTCAAGAAATATGCCGCAGATCAGCAATTGATCACACAACTGCAAAGGCTTTGGAAAAGATATTCAAATGATGTGATGTGTTTATAGCTACAAAGATCAGAATTGTTCAGGCCAAGGTGCCCTCTGTGACTTTCTAGGGATGCTTTTTGGATAAGAAATGACTGTGGAGATTCTCAGTCATCCAGGTCATGATCATCTCAAAGGTGCTTTTTCAAGAGGCAACTGGACTGTCTTTGTTTTCCCTTGAAGATTTATCCAAGAAGCTTTTTCAGCTCTTCAAAGAAAAGAAAAGAAAGGAGGAGGAGAAGGAGAAGGAGAAGGAGAAGAAGAAGAAGAAGAAGAAGAAGAAGAAGAAGAAGAAGAAGAAGAAGAAGAAGAAGAAGAAGAAGAAGAAGAAGAAGAAGAAGAAGAAGAAGAAAAGAAAGAAGAAAGAAGAGGGGGACTGTGGGGTCCTTGGTGCCTTCTGAGCTTGTTGGTTTTCTTGCAGACGTTTCATGACCCAGCTAGGGAACATCATCAGTGCAAGAAGGAGGGAGGAGGAGGAGGAGCAGGAGGAAGAGGAAGAAGAGGAAGAGGAAGAAGAGGAAGTGGAAGAAGAAGAAGAAGAAGAAGAAGAAGAAGAAGAAGAAGAAGAAGAAGAAGAAGAAGAAGAAGAAGAAGAAGAAGAAGAAGAAGAAGAAGAAGAAGAAGAAGAAGAAGAAGAAGAAGAAGAAGAAGGAAGGATTACTTTCACTCTGCATTTAGAATGGCAGGACTGGAAATCACTCTTTAGATGGGTGTTTTTTCAAACTTGACAACTTGAAAATGGGCGGACTTCAAACTCCCAGAATTCTCCAGCCAGCATGAATTCTGGGAGTTGAAGTCCACGCATCTTAAAGTTGCCAAGTTTGAAAACAACAACAACACAGCTTTAGGTCCTCAAGTCTGATCCCTGCTTAGAAAAAGAACTCTCGGTTTAAGGTCTCCAGCCAATGTCTTGCTGATCTTCATTGAAGGTGTCCAATAAAAAGAAGACCAACACTGACAGGGCCACTAGAATATAAACTGAGAGCGAACCCCACAGCTTAATAGCACTGATGATGTTTACCTAATTTGGATAATGAAATATCTGCAAGAACGCAACCAAGCTCTGAGAGCACCAAGGACCCCAATCTGTCCCTGACTTGGTCCTCAAATCTGTCTATGGTCCCTCCATCATCACTATATCTGAGCTTCATTCTCTTCTTGTCCTTCCTTCCCCCTTTCCCAGCACTAGAGCCTTCAGCAGAGAATGAGGTCTTCACATAAAGCATCATATAAAAACATTTACCGTGCTCAGCGCATTTCTCACTTTATTCCCCATGCATTTTTCCCCCCAGGCAGCCTGCAATGTTCTAAAAGTGCAGTTGAAAATTAAATTAAAAAGAACTTTACCTTAAAAGAGCAGCTAAAATACACACACACAGTATACAGGCAATAAATCAGCAGGAAAATGTCCTATAAAAAGCTCCATTGCAGCATATGTGTTAATTGCCCTTAAATGCTGCAATGTGCGCTGAGAGATGCATCAGAACAAGCATTTGTAAAAATTACAATAAACAGTAACGGGGTGGCTTTATGGCCCTTCCCAGTGGGCTTTAGCCCTTTCATTTTGTCTCTCTTTTCAGAGTGCTAGTAACAGGAGTTGTATGTTCCTGTTGTTTTTTTCCCCAAAGGAGCTGATATCAAGATCTGGGAATTTAAGAATCAGCCTCTTTAGAGATACAGTAAGCTATGCACAGAAGGAACTGGGTTAGCTAGTTCATTAAATGTCTCATATGAGCTACTGAACCATTCCTGGCTGAAGGACCCTTTTCCAAATACTGAGCATTTTTTTTAAAAAAATAAAAATAAATGGAATGCAACTTCATCTAGAATCACACAATCATTTGGCTCCAGGCTGGGGTCCTCACCACATCTCGGGGCAGTGAGTTCCAGAAGATAATTTTTAGATTTGATGGGAAATTGTAATTTAGTAATCCCTTGTATCTGCTATTAATTTGCAGAATTAGATAACCGAGAGACAAAAAAAAAATCCTCCCCTGTTTATGTACTGTACAGAATTAGTGAAACACACACACACACACACACACAAATATGTGCATACATGTATCCTCAATTGTGGTCATAAGTCAAGGCCTATCTGTAACTGTATATATTAACAGACTAGGCCATGGGTCTTCAAACTTGGCCATTTTATGACTTGTGGATTTCAACTCCCAGAATTCCTCAGCCAGCGTGCCTGGCTGAGGAATTCTGGGAGTTGAAGTCCATAAGTCATAAAAGGGCCAACCTTGAAGACCCATGACCTAGGACAACTAAATAAACTAAATGTGAGGGGAAAAGATCCAATCTCATGCCATGCAATATTTTATAAATCACTTTTCCCTCAGTTGCTTTCTTCTCTTTTTAAAAATGCCCCACAAATTTTAGTCTCTGTGCACTTGCTTTTGTCCTTCTACATCTCTTTTTTTCACCTTCACTGTTCAGAATTATATGATGGCGACAGTTTTATTTCCAGCATATTTTTTAAAAATCATCCACATAAAATTTGCCCTTTTCACAATTATCTGGAAGTGGGCTGATGTTTTTATGTCCCAAGATCTTGCTAGCTAAAAACTACAAGTTTCATACCCAGATTAATAAAGTTGTTTTACCACTGTTGCTAGGCCCAAAGGCTGTCTCCTCACACTATTAATATTCAACAATTTTGCTAGTCTTTGTTTTACATTTTTTTAAATAAAACCTGGTGATGTACAGCAGATTAAAACTACCAAGAAAGTAGTTTTACCATTTGCCATTTTTAAAATTGTTTAATTTTTACCTCAGATAGAGGAGCAAATAAAAGTTGCTTTTGTGTATCATCAAACTAAAGTAGGTTAACTTTATTTAAAGAGGCCTTTATATTTTTATTCCGTACGTTCTTTGGTTTGCTAAATAATTCTGAATAAAATTTTAAACAGTCAACAATTTATATATTTCATCCCTTTCACCTCCATTGGCCTCTTTCCAAGTCTCTGGCATCTTTCCTTCATGTAAAATAGAATTCATCCCGTTTTGCAGAGGTTTTAAAAGTTCATCCTCAAAGCATTTGCTATAAAAAGCTGATAATCCATGTGGTCCAGGCACCTTTGCTAGTTTAATCTTTTTTTTTATAGCGTCAGAAACTTCCCTCATGGTGATGGGTCCATTCATAATCTGTCTCTGTTCCTCTGTAATCCTTTGTAAGTTTTGTTTCTTTGGATATCCATCAATTCTCTCTAAAGAGATGTCATTGCTTTATACAAATTAGAATAATATTGATAAAATGCTTTTGGTACGGCCAGATTGTCCATTAATATCTGCCCATTTGTAATTGCAATATCATTTTCTTTTCTTTTTGTAATTCATGTCAACCATTGA